AGAGCACATCTATAAATGCCCTCTGATTTCATCCCTGCATGCTGGAGCAATATTCTAGAAGCATAGAAAATTAGGGTTGGAAGGGACCTCAGGAGATCATCTAGTCCAACCTCCTGCTCAAAGTAGGACCAGCCCCAACTAGATTGTCCCAGCCAAAGCTTTGTCTAGCCGGGTCTTAAAAACCTCCAAAGATGGAGATTCCACCACCTCTCTGGGTAACCCATCCCAGTGTTTTACTACCCTCCTAGTGAGCAAATTCTTCCTAATGTCTAACCTAAACTTATTCTCATACTCCTCCCTAGTCATCTGTCCAAGCTTCCACTTGTCAGCTTCCTTTTTGTGTTTAAGCTCATCAAAGAGTTCTCTAAGTCAAGCTGGTTGCCTGCCATATTTGCTATTCTTCTTACATACCAGGATGGTTTGTTCCTGCGCCCTCAATAAGGTTTCTTAAAATACCACCAGCTCTCCTGGACTCCTCTCCCCCTTAGACTGGCCTCCCAGGGGATCCTGTCCATCAGCTCCCTGAGGGAGTCAAAGTCTGCTTTTCTGAAGTCCAGGGTCCTTAGTCTGTTGCTCTCCCTTCTTCCTTTTGTCAAGATCCTCACCTCAACCATCTTGTGGTCACTGCTTCCCAAGTTGCCATCCACTTCTATATCTCTGACCAAATCTTCCCTGTTTGTGAGCAGCAGGTCAAGAAGAACATGGCCCCTAGTTGGTCTTTTCAATGCTTGCACCAGGAAGTTGTCTCCAACACTCTCCAAAAACTTCCTGGACTTCCTGTGCACTGCTGTATTGTCCTCCCAGGCAATGTCAGGGTGACTGCCCATGAGAACTAGGACCTGTGATCTCGAAACTTCCACTAGTTGTCTGAGGAAAGCCTCATCTACCTCATCCTCCTGGTCTGGTGGTCCATAGCAGATGCCTACCACAACATCACCCTTGTTGCTCTCCCCTCTGACCCTAACGAGGAGACTTTCAACAAGCCTATTTCCAGTTTCATACCAGAGCTCTGAGCAATCATATAGTTCTTTTATGTAAAGCGCAACTCCTCTCCTCCCCTGCCTGTCCTTCCTGAAAAGTTTGAACCCATCCGTGACAGTGCTCCCGTCATGCGAGCTCCCACCAAGTCTCTGTTATTCCAATAATGTCATAGCTCCATGACTATGCAAGGACTTCCAGTTTTTCCTGATGGTTTCCCAGGCTCCATGCAATTGTGTACAGGCACTTGAGGTAACTAGCCAATTGCCTTTCTCAGTAAGAATGAGACCTCTGCTGTTGCTCCCTCCCCCTTTTGCTTCCTCCAGGTGTCCTGCTTCCCCACTTACCTCAGGGCTTTGGTCTCCATCCCCTGGCAAAGCTAGTGTAAAACCCTCCTCACTAGGTTAGTGAGCCTGTCTCTGAAGATACTCTTCCCTCTCTTTGTCAAGTGGATCCTGTCTCTTCCTACAATCTTTCTTCTTGGAACAGCATCCCATGGTTGAAGAAGCTGAATCCCTGCTGGCAACACCACCCATGCAGTCATGCATTGATCTGCAGGATGCGTCTTCTCCTGCCCGGGTCTGTCCCCTTGACCGGAAGGATTGAGAGAAACATCACCTCTGTCTCTGTCCCCTTCACCCTTGCACCCAGAGCCCTGTAGCTACTCTTGATCAGCTCAGGCAGTATCACTGGTGCCCACAGGAAGGCGCAGCATGGGGTAGTAGTCAGAGGATTGTATGAGTCTCGGTAATCCTTCCGTGACATCTCAGATCTGGGCTCCAGGCAAGCAGCAGATCTCCCAGGACAACAGGTCAGGCTGGTAGATGGACCCTTCCATCTCCTACAGAAGGGCATTTCCAACTATCACCACCTGTCGCTTCCTCTTCGTAGCAGTGGTCTCGATCCTCTTCACTTTGGGGATTCCTGGCCTGGCTTCTTCCATCAATGGAATGCACTCCTCCTCCTCTGTTGCTTTGCTTCATATCTCTTCTCCAGGCAAACCACTGCAGGTGGGGATGACAATGACTTCTTGCTGCCAGAGGTCTCAAGCTTCCAGCTTCCACCTTCCTGGGAGTCTATGCCCTCTTCCTTTTCTAGCGCCACCTCAATGGCAGTCCTTCATCCATAGTCCTACAGGTTTCCTCCAGCATGGAACTGATGAAGATGTCATGGTGGAGGATGCTTTGGAGTCTTGCTACCTTCTCCTGTAGCTCTCTTGCCTGTTCCCTTTCATTAACAATTTCCTGGGGAAGAGCCTGGTACTCCGGTGTCCCACCTCCCTAGCAAACACCCTAACCCCCAGTCAATACAGTCATTATCATTCTCTGCCCCCATAAATATTTAAGTATTTCATGCAACTTGGAACAACTCCAACAGGAAAAAATGAGTGCCCCTCCTCACCTCACAAGAATGCCTTTCAGCCTGGTTGTTGGAGTGACTCGCCTCGGAGGTGGGAGATGCAAGTTGAGATCCCCTGAAGCAGAGAAGGGTACTGAACTTGTGTCTTCCACAATCTTAGGAAAGTGCTTAGTCAGTGGGTACAAGGGGCATGGCAACACAACACATGGCACTGGGAATCCAGCCCTAATGTCTTCCCAGCTGAAATGATTCCACAAAATTGCAAAGAGCTCAAGTCAAAGGAAATGGCATTTCTCAGAAACTACACTATTTCTCAAAACAAATCTCTCTGGCCTTATTCATAGAGGCTGGGATCTAGGGTGCTGCATCAAGCCCACCTTTAACACAAATCACAGCAAACTCAAGCTCAAAGTAAAATGCAAGTAACACAATATTTTTAGTGATATGGGGCAAGAGGCCCAATTAATAAGCCAATCACTTTAAAAATAAATCAAGCAGTAATACTTTGGGGGTGGGGGGGTTCTTCTCATTGACTTCAGTAGCCTTCAAGTGAGTCCAATAATTAATATGAAGGGCGGGTTTAAAAGGGGAAGAACAGCAAAGGCATCATCAAAATGCCCCTTCATCAAAATGCACCTGTTCTGGCACTCTCAGAGGTGATTATAATAAGGGTCTGTGCAAACATCCAGCCTCCCATCACTCCCACCCACTTCTAAGGCCTATTCAAATGAGACTACAGGGAGATTGTAAAATATGCTAGGACGCTTCACAGCTGGTGTAAATGGACATTGCTGTTGGCTTCTGTGTGCTAAACTCTAGTCGAAACCTGGTCTATTCTATTTAAAGGAACATCAGTGCTACTGGGCCCAAACAAAGATATCTATTTTTGTGTCTACACCTACCTCTGAGGTATTTTTTTGGCTCCCTTTATCATGGTACCCAACACCCTCACAATATTTACTGTGTTTATGTCTACTCTCCACAACCCTGGGAAGGATGGAGGTGCTGTTCTGCCCGATTTGCTGATGGTGATTAAACAACCTAGGTATGTGGGAAGTCTGTGGCAGAGCAGCAAACTGAATCCAGCTCACCCAGGCCCCAGGCTCATGCTCTGATCACCGGAGCACGCTTCTTCTCTATTTCATAGAACTGCGAAAAGTCAGGCCACCATCTGATCACCTCGCCTGACCACCTGTCTGTTACCAGCTATTACATTTCCTCCAAAGACCCTAGGTTATGCCCCAAACTTTTAATTACACTAAACCACATCAGACCTCATGATACTAAACTGTGAGCCATGGCAAAGGAAAGACTAACATGCCTGAGGCCCCTGCAAATGGCAGGGCCATTTGTTCCACCAAGGACCCTACCAATACGTCCTGGGAAAAGTTCCTTCCTACTCCCAGACATGTTAATCTGTATGGCCTTAAGCATAAAGACAAGATTTGCTTAAATAAGAGGTTTTTCTGTCCCACTGCAGACCATCCAGCATCCTGCCCATAGTGGGCAAACTTTGAGACTTCTGAGGAAGGTGGAAAAAGAAGTACCCAGAGAACATCTAGCTAATTGCACCCTGGGGAAAAAAGTTTTTGATCCCTGGAGGCAACACGCAAAACTTCGAAGCATGAGATTGATTTTAATCACTGCCCTAATGCAGGGCTGTCAAGCGTGATAAGCATGCTGAGGGCAGTGCAGATAGTCCTGCACTCCCCAAGGAGGGATGAACAGGAAAAATCAGAGTTACAGACCTGAAGGCCTTAAAGACCCTACTGCACACACCTGCTGAGGAACTTCTCCCAGAATTGAATTGAAGAAGGCTGTTTGAAAGAATATCAAATCTCACCTAAAGATTTCCAAGTGAGACTGACCACCCCCACCCGGCTTTCCTGAGAACCTGTTCCAATGTTTAATTACCTTCTTGACTAGAAAATTCTTGTTATTTCCAGGCTGAATATATTTATCTTTGGCTTCCAGATACTGACTCATTATGCCTTTACAGCAAGGTTGGAAAGATCCCCCATAGTTCCAGGGGTGTGTTTACACTGTAGAGGCCGGGTCTTCTGGCAGCGACACCCAAGCGTGCCTGGCCCACTTACACAAGCCAGACCTGGAAATATGCTGGCACAGCTGCTCTTGGGACATCCCTCCCAGTCACTGTTGAGACCAGAGAGCAGCTGCTAGGGATGACACCAGTGTGGCTTCACTGGCGTACTTCCATGTTTGGAGAATGCATGCAAGGGTGGGTGGGCAGGAACGCGCTTGGCAGCATCCTTACTGGGACATGCTGCCACATGGTATAGACACGTGTAAGCAACCACAAAAAAGGGAGAAGTAACTTCTCAACCTTCAAGAAGTTGAACTCCTTCAGCCTGACACGTTAAGGCTTGTTTTCCCATTCCTGTGCAATTTTTGTGGTTATTCTTTGAATTTCTCCTGTACTCCCACATCATTCTTGAAATGTAGATACCATGACTAGACACTGTTCCAGTCTTGGTCTTACCAATGCTGTGTCCAGAGGCAAGATCAGTTCCCTTTGTCTGTTTTACATAATGAACACCCTCCCCCCATATATACCCAGCAGAGGGTAAGGATTCAGGTGCTGTAGGACAAAGGCACTTTGATTACAATGCATATGAGTAGCAGTGGACGAGCTCATGGGTCACCTTTGAAGTGTAGGATTTTTTTCGTTTTGAACCGGCTTTTTCATTCTTTCTTTTGCCTTTTCCATCCTCTTCTACCCGATCACCTTCCTCCTCACTGCTGGCATCTGCTGTATTTCCTCCTTCTCCCTCAGTTTCTGATGAGCTCTGTTGCTGAATTGCCTTTGAAACATTAATAAAAAAAATAATTAGAGAATCACAGAATAACTAAAAAAATCCACTAATTAGTTTTTGCTCCATCCCACATAGCACACAGAGATTCTGATCGATAACAGCTTGTACTTTAATCACTTTAGTCACGAAAGACTCAGCCTATTCTTACAAGCATCTAGATAAAAGGCTGGAAGAGGCAATTTTCTCAGTAGCCACTTGAAAACCGTTATCAGATGCAGATGCTGAGATTCCATGCTCAGAGGTGTTTACGCAGCGAGAGAAGTGCCGGAGGCGGGATTCTGCACACTGGAGCACTAGGAACTCTGTTCCATGTGACATTTGTGATGTTTCAGTGTGCTTCTAGATCCTGGCTGCATGGGACAACAACCCAGTCAGCAGAAAGATGGTCCCAAAACACAAGACCTTCGTGCTGCTGGAACATTTCAGAACTGACTGGAGTTTTCAACTGTTTTCTTCCTGCAGTCCACAGGCCTATATTCACCTGCTTAATTTTTCAGCCCCTTCTCTAGCAGCATTTACTTCATCTGTATAGGAGTACAGACACTCAGCAGCTTGTGGGTGGTGGACTTGCACACATACCATGTATAGATATAATATACATAGTCCTTCTCTATCTCAAAGGACCGTGTTTGTCATTAAAACAGAAAAAAAAAATTCTACCCTGGCCTTGTGCAGCCTTTTGGCTGCTCTTTCCCAGCTTCCTGACCCTTTGGTCCTGATGATATCAAACAGGGAGACCTCTTATACAGTGGTCACTATCCCTAACCAGCTGTCAACTATCTAACCATCTTACCACCCCTGACCCTCTCTACTATGCTGTTGTACCTGCTATGCCTCACCAATATAAAAATCCAAAGTACTTTGAGAAGGTAAAGCTACAGGAGAGAGTAACATAAAACGACTACAATACGATAATACATAAACCAGTAGTGGGTAACCAATGCCTAATAACTTCCTAATAAATGTAATTGTCTAATTTAGTGATTCTCAACCAGGGTGCTGGGGGTAAGGATATAAGCAGCTAAATGCAGGCTCTGGCTTGACTCTGCCTGGCTGTTCCCCCTTCCCCAGTGCCTGACCCCTCTGTAATGAGGTAAATACTGTAAGATACCATATTTACTTGAATACAAGATAAATCCCCAATGATTAGAATCCATATATGAAAAATTTCCAAATTTGTTATGATTTTCCAGGGTATTGGTTGTAGCTGTGTTGGTCTAAGGATGAGGCAGACAAGGTACTTTGGGTAAATGTGCTGTCTTTTATTAAACCAACTGAATAGTTGGAAAGTTGTTCTTTGCAAGGGTGGGTGTACCCAAAAGCTTGCAAAGAACAATTCTTCCAACTATTTAGTTGGTCTAATAAAAAATATCACATTTACCCAAAGAACCTTGTCAGCTCATAATTTTCCAGGTAGAGAATCTAAGGATTGGAGGGTTGTCTTGAATCCTTGCCCCCCGCCTTGCTACAGCAAGGAAAGCAGTGGCTGGGGGTGGGGCAGGTAGCCTCCTTGCCCTCTGTCCCACCTACTTCTTCCCCCTGAACCCCCACCTTCAGCTCTCCACAGCCTCTACCCCTCTCCCCATTCCCCCAACATCTGCCTCTTGCCCTCTACTCCTCCCAGTCCTTGCCCCTTGCCCCCACAACTCCCCAGTCTCTGCCTCTTCCCCTCCCCATCCCTCTACCCCCACTCCTCTTACTATCAGACACTGCTCGGGCAGGCAGCAAGTGGAAAGCTGCACCTGACCGTAAG